GTGTGCTTTAAGCCCAGTCCCCACCACGTATCTGCCTGTGAAGGCTTGGGTGTTGCTAGGAAGCAGAATAGACTTCAGTGAAGTGCCTAAGCACAGATAAACTGGAGGGATAAAGACTGACCATCTACTTCCAAATGTCAGCCATTTAAAACCACATCTATTGAAACAGTCTGATTCATAACCAAACAAGGGGATAGTGCAGGACCAGGCAACATTTCACTCACCTGTACATATGGTCTTCTTAAATGGTTAGGGCCCAACTAAACAGAAGCCAGCAACAATAATATATTATATTGTTGTCTGTCTGGGAACTCTGGTGGCCTAGTCGTTAGAGAGTTGTGCTGCAAAACCAAAGGCCACACATCTCTCTCAGTTGGAACCCATCAGCAGCTCTGAGGCAAAATGATGGTCAATGTCCTATGCAGTTTACAGCTCAGGACCTCAATTTGGAGGGTCAGCTGTTAATCAGTTCCAACTCAATGGCATTAAATTTTATTTTTCTATCAGATTTGTTCTTTGTCATATGTTCTTTCCTTTAGATTGGATGCACTTAGAGGTCAGGAATCTTAATGTCTATTCACTAATTTGTCTCAGCTGCTTAAAACAGTGCCTGACCATGATGAATGCGTGGATGGGTTGTTGAGAACTGTAGAGAAGCTTTCCCTCTTTACCCTCTGCCCATGGTAATGCCCTATTCCCATTAACCTTTTTAAGTTTTATTCACTATTTAAAGTGGTCTTTCTGATGGCATGGCTCCCACTAGAACATAATCCTGTAAAATCAGGGGCTTAAGATAGTTGCTGTTGTTATTGCATGCTGTCAAGTGGAAACCAACTCAGAGCTGACCCTCCAGGAGGTTTTCAGAGGCAGTAAATCAGGAGGAGATTGCCTGTCCTTCTCCCACAGAACATCTGTGGATTTGAACCATGTGCCTTTGGGAATGAATGCAGTGCAGCTTCTTAACACTGGGCCACCAGAGCTCCTTTACTTTCCTGCTACTTTAATAAATACTAATTAAATGAATCCCTTCTGGGTAAGAAATTTCATTTCCCCAATCATTTAAATTACATATGTAAATTTTATCTGATGGCAAGTCTGGAATTATTGCTTGCTCATTCTGATCCAGTGTTCAGTCATCAGCATACATAATCAGTTACTTTCTTCTTATCACCATGTTGAGATATGTTTTGTTATTAAAAGAATCTTCAGACTACCCTGGATAGCCTTTAATCAGTTAACCAAAGGGTTTTTAAGCTCAAAGATTGACAAGAACTGTGGAAGGTTACAGAACATATTGCAGAATTTCTTCCTGTGTATGTTTGGAAGCAATATTGGCATCCACTTCCTAAACAACATGCCTCTGGGAACTCTATGAATTTTGATAAATGTCCATAGTTATAGAAAGGCTTCAGGCCTTTTGTTCATAGGTTCGCTTTGAGTCATGCTCTGCTTGACAGCAATCACCAACAACATGTTGAGGTTAGCACAGGATAGAGTAGGCTGGCTGTTCATAGTGTCGCCATGAGTAATTCTCAACTCGACAGCATCAACAACAACAATGAGGTATAGAAGTTAAAACTTTATTGGCTCATGGAAAGGTTTCTGATGATCACTGAGAGTAGAAAAATGAAACTGAGAAGGTGTAATCAGAGACTCAAAACTTGAATCTAAAGTAATTCCAGGTGGTAATTTAACCAGCTGATTGAGATCTTATTCCTGAAAGTACAGCACCATCTCTTCAATTCCTGAGTATTTCCTGATAGACTCAATGATACAGTCTCATTTGATTTAAAATTATGCCGTTTAACTCATAATAGCTCCAACTCCAGACATCTTTGGTAAAGGACCAAAGACTGATAAATTCCAGAGTGAAACCTGAGCATTGATTTAAAATTATGGAAAAAATATTGTTATGTAGAAAATTATTGTATATTAGAAGAAAATAGGTTTTTTTAAGGTGGATCATAGTTTTTAACTTAATTTCTATAATCTTTTATATTCAGAATCTGGATTCTGTTTTTCCCAGTTCCTTGAAAACTATTAAATGTTTGAGAGTAGTTAATATCAATGCAAAATCTATTTGAAACATTAAAACATAAGCTATAAATTTTCCTATTAAGTCATTATCTATTTATGGCTTCACCATCATGAAAGTATAAAAATATTCTCAATAAAATGCATCATTTTTGTTACGTAATGTATAGATTTGCCCATGAAAATATAAACTATAATCATCATGATCAGAAGTTTACTCTAGTTTGTGTGGATTTTCTTTTTATTTACAACAATAGTTACTCTAGAACTAGCCCCTTTTTAGTCTCCTTAAGTAAGTATTGTATACATGAAAATTATTACTTTCATTGTAAATTCATTTCGTTGGCATCTAGGAAGAATGCCAACAGTAGTGCCACCCAATTAATGATAAGCTCTTTATTATTTTTCATAAACAAAGACATTTTCTCCTTAAGTTACTTATCCCTTGCTTGATAATAATCGTTTTGTAGCATGCTTAGGTCTGGTAATTCCTGAAAGGCTGTGAGAGCATAAACATTGCTCCTGCTGTAATCCTCAAATGCATCTCTAACTGTATTGTGTGTGGGTTTCTACAGGCCAATCTCTGTGGAGCTAGTATGTTTAAACTGTTCACTGAGCTGACCACAAATATCCCCTGGACTCAGCCAGACTGACATTCCTTATTCTAGGTCCACTGCTTGAGTGAGGTGGAGCTGAAATGAGTTCAGTGAATCAAAAATGAGATTTATCTCCTTTGAGATAGCAGCTCTAGGTCTTTCAGAGTGATAAGCTCTCTTATCCTTACTGCATCTCTACCCTCCCCACACTTAAATGACTCTCCTTTCTAATTGTAGAAATATGGTCTCTGAAATAAAGATGCTGCTGAATAGAACTCTGCTGTGATTTTTTCCTACAGACTACTCTCATATGTTCTGTAAAGATCATTTCCATATAACTTTCCACATTAATTTTTGCTGGCTGTAAGTGATCCAAGAGAGGAATTTACATCTTAACCTAAGAACATGAAATTATTATCTACGGCCTCTTTGATTTATTTATCTCTCCTTCAGTGTTCCTCTTTTTGTTAGTAAGATATTTGGAAAAAATTATTGGCTTGTAAAAGACAGGTTTTCTCTTTAGAGTGGTATATTTAAAACTAATGCCATCCACTGAGGACAATCTGTAAACATCACACTGAGTCTCTCTATTCCCCAAGGCACAAAAGAAATACCCTGAAAAATTAAACATCATGCTTGAGAAGAGGGGAGGGGAAATCTTGTATTTATATTTTAATGATCTAATACTGTCCTGAAAAAATGGATGGATCTACTGAGAGAAATGTTATTTCTCACAGTTCAGTTGAACCTCATTAAGACTGTATCTAATTTAAAAGGATGTCGTATCGTACAGTACTGGTTGCTGTGTTGTAAATGGCACAACATATTTGGGCAGTAGATTAGAATAAAATTCAAAGAAGATTGATAAATCATTGCTTACTTATCCAATCTTAAGGAAAGTATTCTAAATTAAACAGATTTTCAATGCAGAATATATAGCATAGTGAATAAATTCTCAATCTCAATGCGAAGCAATGATTTATTGGTTGACATTATTTTTTTCATTATCAATATTCTAAAAACAGATTATCATATAAAATACTCTATTGCTGAGACAATGGAATAAAATAACATATATCGTGATTTCCATTTTGTGAATAAAAATTATATTGAAACAAATCAAGTAGAAAATGGAGACACTGTTATACTATCAAAGGATTATGCTTTAGTAATGGAGCTACAAACAGCTCTTTCTTCTCCCCCCCTTTTTTTTGTTTTCATTAAAGAAATCGTCATTTCCCTGTTTGGTGACATTGTATTCATCATGTTGTACAACCATCACCATTCTCTATTTCCAAATTTTATCTCTACTTATTTTTTTTTAAAAAATAATCTGTTTTTCTTGAGAAGTATCTGTTGCCAAAGACCCTTATATATAATAAATACCTAGAATTGAATCCAGATATTTAAGCTTCACATATTTTGTGCCTACAGTTAAATCTTTGTTCCCACCTCTACCCATCTGTAAATTTTGGATAGTTCTGAGTAAACCTTGAGGCTCTTAAAGCACAGTTATGTAGCAAGGATTAACTGCGCAGAATTTGGGAAAGGAAGATGGTTCATCCAAGTCCATGTGAAGAACTCATTGAATGGGGAGAAATGGCTCAGAAGAATTAGACTTGCCTCCAATGTATAAGAAATAAAACTAGTGAGGGAAGTACCTCTTTTTCACTCTTTTAAAGAGCAGAGAGTGTGTGTGTGTGTGTGTGTGTGTGTGTGTGTGTGTGTCCGTCCCACTGTGTAAATGAATAGGTATTGCCTGGATAGAGGACAAAAATACTTATCTGCAATTTAGCAAAGCATCACATAATGACAGATCACCTAATTAGCATTATCATGTTTGGTGGCTGAGTGAGTTCAAGGAGGGAAAAATAATGGAATAAAAGGTCATTGCTTTCATATTTCACTGCAGTGATGAATAATAGTTGCTTTAGTTGTAAGACAGATTTCCTCTTTCTTTTTTCCCCCTCCAAAACATTGTATGTTTTAAAGTTACATCACTAATTGTTAATTAAAGTAGATGTTTGGGGGCGGCGGAGGGCAGATAATAAGTTTTCTCCACCAATATAATAGACCTTTTTATTCAGGTTTCTGTAGTTTCATTTGCCACAGGCAGAGGACTGTACATTTCAGTAATTCATCTTCACCTTCATTACTGGTAGTGCTTTCAAAAAAGAGCTATGACCTTTTTTCTAGTAAAGATATGTATGAATGATATGTAAAAAGATGTCAATAGATGTGAATGTTTTGTGATTAAGAGCCAGCCTGCACAACACTTCTTTGGTATATGTATGTATTTTGGGGGTGGAAAGATGAGTACAGTATTGTTTCTTATTTTCCTCCCTTTATTCTTTTTTTTTCCCCCTGTAGACAAAGCCCGTTGCATTTGCAGTCAGAACAAATGTCAGCTACAGTGCAGCCCATGAAGATGACGTTCCGGTGCCAGGCATGGCCATCTCATTCGAAGCAAAAGATTTTCTGCATGTTAAGGAAGTAAGGAAAATCATTTCCATTTCCACTTGTCTGACTTTTCACCTTGAAACATATTTTGCAGTTCTCATAGCTGTGAAAGAGCATTGTGACGAGCTGCAGTAGTACAGAATACAGTCTAAATCAGTGACCTCAACCTTTTTTAATATAAATATACCTCTTTAAAATTCAAAGGAGCCACAGGCCTCTTGCAATAACTTCAAAACTCCCCTGGGCTCTATGGCCCAGAAATTTGGAGTGGCTGGACTGGCTGATCTTTTTTTTTTTTTTTTTTAATAAATAACCTATGAATTCTCTGTTAATGTTTAACCTTGACTGTTTACAGTGTGGGTTTTGGTGTGTGTGTGTGTGTGTGTGTGTGTGTATTTTCCCCCTCAGGCCTATAGTTTAATCATGTAGTATGAGTTTAATAATAATGTCTAGAATTCAGGCTTTCTCCTCTTTGGTGACACCTTCCAAGTTCAGGCCACTGTATTCTTTTTCATCCTTCAATGATAGATTTATGCATTATAAAGAGGGCTGCTAGAAACTTGGGCAAACAAAGCCAGAAAAAAGTAACTGAAAAATAATTTCTTTTGCTTCATGCCAGAGTCTTCACCTTTCAGTTAACAGTGACTTAACCTGTAACTTGAAAAAAATCCACCCTTAATTAAGGTTTGGTTTGAATCTACATTTATCAAAGGCCTGGTGTGCAGAATGCTGTATTAAGTGACCAGAAATCCCCCACGCCTCCAGAAACTCTGTGAACTTTAATAAATGTCGATAGTTGTAGAAGGGCTTCAAGCCTTTTGTTCATAGGGTTGTTATGAGTCATGCTCGCCTTGAAGGCAATCAACAACAACAGCAGCAATGTTCTCAGCATGTGAACACAAGGGCCCCTTGAACTTGGAGGCGTGTTCTCTTGGAGAATTTCCATCTAGAGGAGGATGCCATGCCTGGGGAACATATCTACATTTAGCTGTTCAAGTTACTGAAGACTGGAAGCACAGCCTGTAATTACTGCCCTCTAAAGGAACCTGGAGAATTTAGAGCCTGCCATTTCATTACTATTTAGAAAGACTTGTGTTTTAGTCATGACGTTAGAGCAGAAGTAGCACAAGTAGATGGCTTTGAGGGAATTCTGATTGCTGAATGGTTAAGAGTTGTGCTGCCACTCCAAAGGCTTACAGTTTGAATCCGCCAGCTGCTCTCTGGGAAAAAGATGGATGGTCTCCTCCCATGTGATTTATAGCCTCTGAAAACCCCCTGGAGGGTCAGCTATGAGTTGATCGCAACTCAGTGGTACATAACAACAGTAACAACAGAAACAACCAATAAAGTGGTACAGAACAGTGCTTTAACAAGCAGAAACCTGTTCACTCACAGTTTAGGAGCCTGTTGTTGTTATGTGCTGTTGAGTCAGTACCGACTCATAGCTGACCCTCCTGCAAATTTCCAGCTGTAAATCGCATAGATGGAGATTACCCATCTTTCTCCTGAGGAGCATCTGGAGGATTCAAACTGCATACCTTTGGGTTGGCAGCACAACTCCTTACCTCTAGGCCACCAGAGCTCTCTGGTTAGGAGACTGTAAGTGTGAATTCAAGGAATCAGCTGTAAAGGAAGGCTTTTACTCTTTCTATGTCAGCTCCGAGGGAAGGCCCTTGTCTGTTTTCAACATGTGAGCCTGGGATTCCATGGAGATTTCCACGTGACTTGGCATCAGTCTTTTTCTGGGTCTAGAAGATTCTCAGCACAGGACTATCCCAGGATGCCTTGTACTCTAGGGTCTTCCTTTTTGGAGGCCGTCAAGTTTGTTTCCTTTCTGCTCACTTCCTCTCTCTTTTAAGATGAGAGATGTGATCCAAGCAAGAATGGCTTAGAGTAGTGACTGGAGGGCTTGAGTAAGGATGGTTGGTGGCTTAAGTAGTGGTAGGACTTCAGTCATGTGCTCTTGTAAAGCTGAAACTTAAACAGCTCACCCTGATCCTTCCTCATTAACATGTAGAGGTTGAGATTTACAATACATATCACAAAACGGAGGGGAATCACATCAGATCACAACATGCACAATAGGTGACCAGACAATAATAGTAGGAAGCATGGCCTAGACATGCTGCACATATTTTGGCCGAACATGGTTCAATCTATGAAAGTATCAAAATGTTCATTAAAAATGAAAGATTTAAAAAGTTTCCAGATCTGCCTAGAATCTCACTTTACAATGGGGAATCAAAAGATCTCTCTCTTCTAACAGCTGATACCTGGAGAAAGTTCTATTTCTAACATGAAAATAAAAGACAAAACAGAATGGAATGCTACTTTGAAGTATATTAGACAAACTTGAATAATGTTATTCAGTTGCAGAACACATTTAGATAACAGAGATGGCAAAGGAGGTTGAGTTTTCAAGCATGGAAATACAAAGGAAGAGGAACAGTTGTAAGCAGACACTGGTGACTGGGACATGGAATGTGAGAACCATGAATGTAGGAAAATTAGATATTGTTAAGGAAGAAATGGAACGCATAAATATTGACATACTAGGCATTGG